CATGCTTTGGTAAATCACAATTATGACATAAAAAGTAGAAATTATGAGATACTAAGTCGAAAATTCTGACATAATTAAAACACAAGTCGAAATTCTGAAATGATAGTTATGATAAATATTATAATTGTCTTTTTATTTCATATATATAACCTCACATTTTATCTCATAATTATGACTTAGCATCTCAATTTCAACTTTTAGTGTCATAATTTCACCTTTTTATGTCAGCATTATTTTTTTTTCTTGTGACAGAAATTGGCTTATATATATATATATATATATATTTTTTTTTTTTTTTTAAGTGTTAATTTAGTACAATTAATTACATTAAAAAAATAATGCAATAAAAAAAGTGTATGATTTAATCATGTCCCTGACTGCACGAAATCCATAAAGAATTCAAGCAATATTTTTATTGTGATTAATTTGATTAACCAATATTTCATGTCATTAATGCCAGTTATTAGAATTTTTTATTCACTTGATGGACCTTAAATCCTTTTTATTCTCATTATTTTTAAACAATATCCACACTAAAGTTCAAATGTGTTGAATTAAAAACTTTACAGGTACATTCTGCGCATAATTCACATAACATATAAATCTTTTTGGGTTTTAGTGGGAGCCTGGGATGGTGAGTCAGTGTGGAGCTGCAGTTAGGATCCCTGGACCCTCCTTTGGACCTCCAAAACCAAACTGGCCATGATCGAACCCTCCAGCTTCCTCCACTGTCTCACTGCCCTCACCTCACACCTGAACCAAACCGGAGCCCTCTAAGAGCCTGTAACAGTCTGTAGTCTTAATACTGGTGCAGCTTTGAAAATATGCAGTGTTAGTTGAGTCGTGAATGCAATTTTAATTTCGTTCTCTTGATATGTCATCATGGTTGAGTAAAAACAGATTTAGAATGTTAACCTGATCAATGGGTGGTGCTATATAAACATAACTGAATGCCAAACTGTTGTTAAACAATTAAAAAAAAAAAAGTGTTATGCTACTTTAACTGCATTCAGTATTAAGACTATCAGACCCTCAATCTATTCTGCGTTTAGGTAGCGACTTGCACTAGTTATACTATATTGGATGACCCTTCCCCTTTACTTGAAAAACTATAGGACACCTTCAAGAGCATGACATAAACATTTATAGATAGTAATGGCTATTTGTCACACCTGACGCTTCGTCAGTGGAAAAAATCAGGTTCTATATGTTCTTTAATTCAAATTAACAGCTGCTACAAGGAATAGACATAAAATATATATGAAAAGAGTTTGCATTGCTCGTGAAGGAGTCCACCAAGGGGTGTGTGCAAGAAATGAGTTCTCGCTTAATGAGACTATTGTTGTTTTCTAGCAGCTCTTAGACAGGACATTGTAGGCTCCAGATAACCAGTTTCTGAGAGCGCATTGCTGGTTTTATGTGCTCTCATAAACATGGATATCATTGTGTCTATCTCTCTCTCTCTCTCAAAGTGGAATTTGTTTATGTTGCATTTTGTGGCCTATTGTCTTCGTGTATTAAAATTACAATTAAAAAATGGATAGTCCACTTAAAAAAAAAAAAAGCAAAAAAATTCAAATGAAAAAAAGATGATCAAATCAGACAAAAGACACGGGTATGGGTGTTCTGAATTTGTATAAATGTGTATGTATATAAATATGTATTATCAGAGTTTTCACTCTCTGATGTTTTTATTTTTCTGTTTGTGTTGGGATATACAGTTTGCCATTTGGGTGAACATAAATACAAATATAAATTGAGGAGCGGGATTCTGGACCAATAAAATTTCACAGTGGGCGTGGCTACCACAACTTTTTCAGAAGAAGAAAAAAACTTTTTCTGGGAAAAAAAAGCACTCAAAAATCTAGCTGTCCAGTTTACAAAAAGAGCTTTAAATGCTTTATTTTTAGATTTTGTTATTTTTTTGAAGCAGTGGACCTTTTTTTTCTTTCAACTGAAATAGAGAAATTGAATAGAGAAGAAATTCAAAAATGTGTATGCACTATTCTTTACACGTGACACAATCAATACTCTGTGTCCCAAGATAAAAAAAAGTCATTGTTTGGCAGAGCAACTATGCAGTGTACATATGTTTTAAATCACAGCTGATTTAACGTAGACTATACATCATATTTTATTAATCTGTAGCTTTAAACATTTGGCTACACTAAATTAATTTCACCCGTCCTGTCATTATAAGTGCTACAGATAGGTTTCTGACCTGTAAAGGGATAGATCGCCCAAAAATGGACTTTTTCCGCTATCCTGTGGTCTCTCATACTGCTCATCTGACACATTACTGATCCCAAAATTTGATTGCACAGTTATTACATTACAATTAGCGTAATTTCAGACTTTCGTGCAGATATTGAGTTGAAACCCTGCACAAATTTACAATCGAACTGTATAAATTAAATCCAAGAAACTCATCACTGAAACAAAAGCCTTAAGTCAAGAAGTCGCCCGTCTCCTTGCAGGCAACAATGAGAGGAATCTGTGCAAGCATTAGCCAACAGTTTAATGAAGTCAAGGCTTTTGTAATGCAAACAAGCAGTCTTGACGTTATCTGTTGTTGATGCACTGTAACCATCAACTCCAGATGTCTCCTCTCCAGTTTGAAAATCTGGATAAAAGCAGCCAACTCACTTGCATTGTATTTCCCACAGAATTTGCCTCATTAGTGTTATATAACTGTTAGGAAAGAGTCTGAGTGCACTTGTCTGTTCTTTTATCACAATTACATAACCACTACCACATCATGCAAATGTGTTGGAGTAGCGTTCGCTAATGTGGTACTCAAACCCAACCGGTGGGTCAAATGTTTCTGTGAGATGGTTTATGGAAAAATCTCAGTGTTTACACAGACAACTACACTTATGGGCTGAACCATCCCAGAGGACTTCAGATTGTGACATCATAAAGGGCATCACACAATAATAGTCCTGTCCATAAATGGTAAGGCTTTTCTGATTAGTGGTAATAAAACTGGGAGTTGGCTAGTAATATATCCATTGCTGAGCGCTATAAAAAATTGTGAAGTACTTTAAAGACAATCAATTCTGTTTGGACACGGGTTGACATTTTTATTTTTTTAATTTAACTTGGACATAACGTTTTCCACTCTTGCTTAACTCTTGGACTACTATGGCTCCATTGTTTATATGGTTGTTATAACATTTCTCGTAATGACATTTTCAGTTTGATGTGGGGTTGACATATCTCTTTAACATCAACATTTTGAGTTGCAATTGTTAACAAAGGACGTCTGTCATTACATGTACTCATCTGGATGGGAGTTATTACCAAAGTGGATAATGTCCATTGTCCATTACCCAAATCCTCAAGGTAGTCAGCTAACTTGGCCATCTTGGTAATGCTTCTGGGCAGCTATTTGTACAGCAGTCATCTTCTTGAATGAGGAAGGAGGAATATCTTAGAATATGTGTCACAATTAAATTTAAATAACAAATTTATATAAGGAACAATGTCTGACAACAAGTATCATACATCACTATATAAATACCGCAATCACAGGCACTCCTGTGCAGGCAGGATTAGACATTTCAGAGGATGTCTGTGTTAGCTGAAAAACAGTAATTGGTTTCAAATTTTTTTTTTTTTGAGAAAAATGCAGGCTTGTTTAGTTCCAAGTATGTTGCAGAAACACAAACATACCTTGGAAAAATAGTCCCATCTGAATAGGCCTTTAGTCGCCTTTTAGCTTTATAATACATCTCTGAATCTTCTGTGGCTTGTGTGCATATGTCTATGTGTGTGGGGCATGCTGCTTTATTGGCAGGATATTGGGAAGCTGCTGCTATCATTATTCTCGCACATATGCATATCCGTACATGTGAGAGAGGAAATGACATATGCAGAGAATGCATTGTGTTGTAGATTAAAAGCTGATCGTAAGTGTGATGTTTTTGATTAAACATCAGGGTCAGCCAACACAAATTACTTTGACAAATAACATTGTGCTTCTCAGTTCTGATGCCCTTAAAAAAAGGTTAAGATATAAAAAAAAAAGATGTGTGTGCGGTTTTACAGTACATACATAAAAGCATAGCAGGTATTACAACTTGGCCTTGTGGAAAAGTCATAATTTTATGAGACTGCAAAAGAAAAAGAATAAAAGCCTGAAAACATAAATGTACAACCCAAACCTAAACCCCTAATCCAACATTAACTGTAGTAACAAAACAACCTATAAAACTAAATTGGCATGATCTACATTGTATAACTCTGACATTGTATAACAATTGTCATGAGAGTATTGGAAAATATGCAATCAAATGTTTTAAACAGTAAATAAAACCAAGGGTAATCGTAATTAGACACCACTGGAAAACAAAATGTTTTAAACAAATACATTGTTGGCTGTTTTGATACAATCCTGGCAATTACAACACTGCAAAAAAAGTCATGAAGTATTTTTGTCTTTAAAACAAGATAAACGGAATTTAAAAGCAACATTGCATAAGATAGTAATGCTGTATCTTTAATTCAAGTGCATGTCTTATGGCACTAGCAGGTTTTATTCCTTGTTTTTAAGCTTGCTTATACTTACACTGCCAGTACAGTAAGACAAAATGAAGATATATATTCTCTGTAAGCAAGTATTATGCAGTGTTAAATGCTATCCTGCTTTTAAGAATTTTTAGATATTGTAATTAGGAAAACAACAACAAAAGAATAATTAAAAACTATTTTGCAGTAAAATTAATTTCTTCATAGACATTATAACACAGTACTAACAAGCTCACTTTGCTTCTTATCACCAATTATGGTATCATGATAATTAAGCTACAAAAAAATACTCAAAAATTGCAAAAGTGTATATGCAAAGTGTCGTCAATAATCATTACATTACTAATGAGCAAAGAACACACAGTAATGAGATAAATATTATTGATATGTTGAGTATATTCTGTGCTGACTGTTCTGCTAGAAAGCTGTTACACTCCTCTGTTGAGAGTCATCACAGAGTATCGCCCCTCTCTGAGCTCTCATTCTTCTATAAAGGGAGGTGGCCCTCCAGTCTCTCCTGATCTTTCTCTCACACACTCTTCGACACATTGAACAGACCTGCTCACCATACAGGACACGATGTGGCTTGCTGTGTTTTACATATGGGGAAGCCTGTTAGCCTTTTCTGTGTGTCACATCTGCTCAGAGACCTCTGAGGACGCTGCTTCATGGGTAACGCTGAAGCCCCTGGGGCACTGCGGGGACGAGGAGAATTTGTGCCCTTATCAACTCACCCTTCCTCCTCTCTCCATCCAGCTTCCCAGGCCTTTTAGGGAGCTGGAGAAAATGGCCAAGGAGCTGCAGAACCTAAAGGACATGGTGAACCAGCTAAGGAGGGACTGCCAAGAACGTAAGGACAGACATAGTATCGAGAGTGGTGGACAGAAAGAACACAGTGAGGAAAAGGAAAGGAGACATCAAAGTCCAAGGCATAACATCAGCATCAGCATCAAGGAGACACAGAGTCATAGTGGAGAACAAGTAGTCCAGATCTTAACTTCAAGCTTACCGCAAGGAGACACATCAGAAAGTGAGGGAACTGTCAAGGATGGCGTGAAGAGGCTCAATCATTCTGTTTTGGAAAGTCAGGAATGGAACATTGACCCGAGGATCGATCTAAATGAAGGCACCACAGATCAGAGGTCCGAGATGAGCAGAGAAGTAAAAATATTTAACCCCTCACTTGACGAGAGACCCGAGGACATATCTAAGGTCAAACTTGTGCTCTCACCTACACCTGAGGAGACAGAGAAGGAAATGAAGTCTAAGCAAAGTGAATTAATAGAACCGTCTCTCCCTAGAAAAAAGGACACCATACAATCCTCAACCCATGGGAAACAGCAGCTAAATATTCTCAGAGATGGACATGTAAAGAACATCAGTGGCATCGTGGCAGCAAGAAGAAGAGTGCAGAATGTGCCTGATGCGAATGGATTAAGCAGCATTTCAAGGGATGCTAACACTAGGATAATGGATTTAAGCACATCAGCTGGGAACAGAAGGGTTGTAAAGTTTCCTAGAGAAGGTGGACCAATGAGGCCAAAGGGATCCTACATAAACAGTAGAGTTGTCAAGGTTAACAATGAAGACAGACTGAAGAACCCTGCTTTGGTGAGGATCCACAATCCACAAGCCAGGGACATGACGTTCAAGATTGAGCCAGAAGAGGCTGGATTTTCCCCAGCAAGGAGTGGCATTATGCGGGTCAAGGAAACAAGTCCTCTTATAGCAAACACAAAAACTGGGGTAATTACTGGACCGACCCTATCAACAGATGACCAAAACAATCAAGACATCAGTAGGGTTTCTGGTCCCAGAACAGATGATGGACATGGCCTAAAAGATGCAAGTCAAGTAACTAAAATTACCAATGACAATTTAAGAAAAGTAAACAAAACTGGGATTACAAGACTCCCAACAAATCTGAGGAAAGAAAACCAAGGTGATGTGAGTCACATAACCCCAAATAAGTCAATCTCTAGTGTTATGAACCAAGCTGAACAGCCAAACATGGTTAAAGAGGAAAAGCAGTATGTGGGACTGAGTGAAAGTCTAGTTGTTATTAGTAGTGAGGAAGAGACTAGGTCCAATTTGAATATAGAGGACTTGACTTTCCCAGGAAGACAGGTGGAAAATGAAAAATATCTAAATCCAATTACAGAAACTAATAACAGACAAACTGATTTGAACATTTTGGATAAGGCTGACAGCGCTTTCAATGAAAGGAGAGTTTTGGTGGGAAAGACCAATCCACAAGCCAGGGACATGATGGTCAAGACTGGGCCAGAAGAGGCTGGATTTTCCCCAGCAAGGAGTGGCATTATGCTGGTCAAGGAAACAAGTCCTCATATAGCAAACAAAAAACCTGGGCCCATCAGTGGACCTACCCTGTCAACAGATGACCAAAACAAACAAGACATCAGTAGGGTTTCTGGTCCCAGAACAGATGATGGACATGGCTTGAAAGATGCAAGCCAAGTAACTAAAGTTACAGAGGACAATTTGAGAAAAGTAAACAAGACTGGGATTACAATACTTCCAACAAATCTGAGGAAAGAAAACCAAGGTGATGTGAGTCACATAGCCACAAATAAGTCAATCTCTAGTGTTATGAACCAAGGCATAGAGCCAAACATGTTTAAAGAGGAAAAGCAGTATGTGGGACTGAGTGAAAGTCTGGTAGTTATTAGTAGCGTGGCAGAGATTAGCTCCAATGTGGATAGAGAAGACTTGACTTTCCTAGGAAGACAGGTGGAAAATGAAAAATATCTAAATCCAATCACGAAAACTAATAACAGAAAAATTGATTCCACAATTTTGGACAAGGCTGACAGCACTTTTAATGAAAGGACACTGCCTCCAGATCTTAAAGATCAGATGCAGCCAGGGATGTTCAGTGAAGGGGCAAATGAGCATATCGGGTTTAACTCACTGAGTGCAGGGACTATGAAGAAGGACATACCAATCCACAGTAAAGCCATCCTTCCAGAAAAAGATCTGGTGAAGCCCACCCTTGTCCCAACTGTAAAGAGTAAATCGACTGAGAGTACAACCAGTAGGGTTCAATCACTTGTAGTAGGCCAGGGGACAAGGAGAATTTCAATAACTCCACTCAAAGCTGCAGCTGTAGAGGGACCGTCTCAGAACAGCAAGAAAAACATCAGCAAGATACGTGAAGTAAGTCAAGACAACAAAAGGTATGTGATGCCAGACCCCGATAGACACCCCATTAGACATCCAACAACTGTGATTTCATCTAGAGTCAACAGCCTAAGACAATCTAATGTGATGGGCAACATGTCAGCAAACAGAAGTGTTGGGGTACATTCTAAGCTGTCCATCCCAGTCAGAAACAGCAATACTGCCAGGAAAAATGGCTATGGAATAATAAGACCAAGCTATATAAGGAAGCCAAACTTTCAAAGTCAGCCAAACAGAACCAGAGGCTTCAAGACAAAGGCAAATACAGTGACTCCGTTCTCCAGTCCCACTGGTGCAACAGAACAAGTACAAACAGAAGAAATCAAACACATTCCACAGGTGATGAGGTCAAATGTATTGGATAATAAATGGTTAAAAAACAACAGTACAGAGTCAAAATCACAACAGTTTCAAAATCCAGGTGATGTACAAGGTTTGGAAAAGGTTCAACAAAGAAAGAACCAAGTTAGAGACAACAGTGAGCCTGTGTTGATCACAAATATTGGGAGTGCAGAGGATCCTAACACTCTGCAAAGTGGAGCCTCAAATTCACCGACTGGTGGAAAAGAAAGCAAGATATTTAGTTTGGGAACTGACGATACCAGCAATCAACACCCATTTGAGGTGGACAAGATCAGCAGTGGGAAGAAAGGACCAACTGCACCAACCTTAAAGAAAGAGTTATCTAAGGAACCAGGAACACTATTCACCACCTCGACAGTTTCTTTTATGGACACAGACCATGAAGACAGCACAAAAAATATTCTTAAAATGACAAAAACACATGTTGAAATGGTTAAAAACGTCAGTTGGGAAACACCCATAAGCTTTGAAAATACTGGAACAACAAGAGAACTGGAACTTATTAAATTTAATAAAGACAGAGTGGAAGAAAACTCTGGGGAGATATTATCTAACCCAAACAGTGCGGACATTGCCCAAGGTTACAGTGGAGAGAGGTACACAATTCCAGTTGTTTTGAAAACGCTTAATGTTGAAGAAATTAAAGGCTCAAAGCTTTTCTCACTCGGCCCCGAGGACGCTGCTGAGGGGTTTAAATCACATGCAGTACGTGATGAGGTAACAGAGAGAGAGCAAGTAGAGAACAAGATCCACAGCATCTGTGACAGTGATTGTAACACTACGTCAACCCAGCAGTCTACAACCCTGACCAGGGCCCCAGTGGACTCTGGAAGAGGTGAGGAATTTTCTTACACAACCCATGTTAATGTTTACTTTTAAGAAACAAGTTAAAGGAGTATTTACTCTTAACCCCTTAACTGTCACCCCCCATTTTTTAAAATAGGCATGCAGGTGCACTATCCAAACTTAAATTGCTGTAATTTATGAACACTTTGGAATACAGACATAAGGTTGGTCTCTTTTTAAAGAAGACAATCAGCAAATTATCGCAAAAGTGGAATTTTTTCAAAACAATTTAAGTATCAAAAAGTTATAGTAGTTTAAATTTGTCAATATTACTTCTATCTCAAAATAACCACCAAATATGGAATCCTAAGACTCAGACCTTTCCAATGATATGTGTTTTGTCAAGATTACAAAAAGTTTTGATTTTAAAAGACCGTAATTCATTTTGTAATATGACACTTGACACTGCCCACTAAGGGGGAGGAGACCGCCAAAAGATTTTAAAGTACCATTTCCATGGTAACGCAATGTCTGATTTCAAAATGGTTTTCACAGGATGAATCTTGGGCTTCTAAGCTTTCAAATGATATATGACGATTACTAAAAGATTTGATAGAGAAAAAAGACAACAAAAAAAAGAGCGCCAAACGTCCCACAGGTGGGACGGTGACAGTTAAGGGGTTTTAATATACACCTTAAAAAGTATGACAGCGGTGCATGTTTATTCGACACAAAGCTTACAATATTGTGGGATAAGTCCGTTTGACTGTTTGTATAGATTATACCCAAGATGTCCAAAAATAACTGCAGGTACAATCTATTCAGATAATCATTCCCAGGAAATAATATAATATGAAAGTATTCTTTAACACATGTTCTGTGACCCCGCACTTTATCTTGATAGTGTGATAGGATTCCATAACAGGGATAAGTGGATATGGATCCACATCTGAATAGCAGATGTTATGGTTTTTGTGAAGAGGACCAGCTGTAGGCATCGTCTTTTGTCTGATGTATCAGGATGTGGTGTCTTTGTTGAGCTTGAGGAAAGGCTCAAAGGCAAAGACTTTTTTGCAATGCATAATTAATGCATGCAGAAGTTCAGTACCATTCCATGCCAAGTGCTAAATTTACTTGTCCAGTGATTGGAGTCTGAAATTTGGCCCAGTGTGGCTCAGTGTAAACTCTTGAAACCACAGATAAATAAATCCAGGTGGACAAAATTTATATGTATAAAATAGCCTTTGCATATCTTTTAAATGAAACCTTAAGTGTAGTCTGTCGAGTATAGCTTTGTTGTTTGGGTCTAACAACAAAGATGGATAGAAAACAATTTCAGTGCATCATCTTGCTCTGCATTCGTTTACGAATTCATGATCCCAATTTTCAGATGAATGTTTATTTTTTTTTAAATTTCAACCCAATTGAATTTATTTGTATTGTGCTTTCCACAATAAATATGGTTTCAAAGCAGCTTTGCAAATAAAAGTGCCTTAAAGCTTCTCTAGCTGAAAGATGACAATGGCAAAGAAATGCTCCTTAAGATGTTTAAGTAAATATAAGCATGCAGATTTAGGTTGTTTACACATTGTAAAAGCATTTTTCATCAACAGAGAATGAGGTAACCTAAAACAATTTTTATTGACCACAGAAAAAGGACCTGCACAAGACTGCGCTGATTACATTACGAAATCCCGAAGGAATGGTGTATATAGAGTAACGCCGCAGCCAAAGAGCAGCATGTTTCCTGTTTTCTGTGACATGGAGTCTTCTGGTGGGGGCTGGACTTTGATACAGCATCGCTTTGATGGCAGCACAAGTTTCAATCGCACCTGGGATGAGTACAAGAATGGATTTGGTAAACTAATAGGGGAGTTTTGGCTTGGCAATGACAAGATTCACTTGTTGACAAAGGCGAAGAACATGTCATTGCGAATAGAAATCGAAGACTTTGAGGGTATCAGAGAATACGCCCATTATGACCACTTCTATGTGACCAATGAAAGCCAACAATACCGCCTGTCCATTAGTGGTTACTCTGGTACAGCTGGTAATGCCATGCAGTTTAGTAAGAAGTACAATCATGACCAGAAGCTCTTTACCACTCCGGACAGAGACAATGACCAGTATCCCTCTGGAAACTGCGGGGCCTATTACAGCTCAGGCTGGTGGTTTGATGCATGCATGTCTGCAAACCTAAATGGGAGATATTATCAATCAAAGTACAAAGGGGTACGTAATGGGATATTTTGGGGTACGTGGCACAACATTACAATGGAATATTACCCAACCAATGACAGACAATCTTTTAAGACAGTTAAAATGATGATTAGACCTAAGAACTATGCTATCTAATACTTACCAACCAAAATTTAGCTCTCTTTTGAAGTTAAATAGTAGAAAAGTATATTGCTACTCTTGTTTACTGCTTTATTAATAGAAAATATAAGTGTGGCGTCAGAACTTGAATAAACATTGACAAATGTTTCTGTATCTATGTTGTTGTTTTTTGAGCTGTACACATATGCATTAGTAGAATACATAGAATACACAACTGAGCCCTCTTGTGTTGCTTTGAAAATCCTGTATTGCATAAGACATATGAAACCATGCTATTTAGCCTACGGATCCAGCAATTATCTTGTATATTGTATTTTTTTAACTTACAAACACTAAAATGTTTGCAAGTCTGGGCCAATCCCATGACTACGTTTACATGGATATTTACAGAATTTCTTGTCAGATGTCTATTTTTTTTAAAAATACAAATATCTGGATTTTACCAGCTGAGTAAAAGCATCTGTCATTTTCTATTATTTTCATTGTACACTGTAGGAATTTTGAATTTGAATTAACACTAAGTGTTATTTTCAAACATTGTATGTATGTATGTATATACACCCCAAAAACATCCTTTATCCAGACGACTCATTCTAAGAGGAAATTTCAATTTCAGTTAAAAAGGAGGATCATAATTGAATTACTTAAAATTTACTATGAATAAATTACTACATTTCTACTAGATTTGCATATTTTGCTCCCTGCTGAATTGTAACACCTTTTCTGCATGATCTTGGAATCATTTGCAAATTTAATAACTGTGCACTTACTGAATACAGTTGTCATAAAGAAAATAAATATGCATCTTTTAATTACAAGGATGCTGTTATTACGTTTTAATATTATTATTTACACACTCTATACAAGAGAAAATTATTAATTACATTTCGTAAACATGTATTATGTAAGTTCTGCAATGCAAAACATAAGTGTTTGATAAAGAAACACAGATTTATAAATATGCACCATTATTGTAGAACATGTGTCGTTTCCATTAGCAAACCATGTTGTCTTACAGTACTGGTTGAATAAACAGTGTGTATGCAGCACGTTAACGGTTATTTTTCAAATGTTCATTATGGTATGCCATTAATGATCTCAGTGTTTCACTTAAATGCAATAAATATTCTGAGCAACATTCGCAATCAGTCATTTCTGTCACCTGAGTGGAAACTCACCACTGAGCCAAAATTCATAACCCTCCCTGCATCACTGTGAACATGAAACGTAGGCTATTCAGCGTAGTCACTCTTGAGCCTGAAAGAAACAAGCAATTCCTGATAAAGAGCTTGAAACAGCTGTACATTCTTATTGTCCGTTGTATATTCCCTTCTTTATGAATAACATCTACTTTCGAGATGATTTTATTCCTGAAGAATACAGTAAAGACTTCTGCTGGCTTTCAAAGAACACCGTTCATATGTTCAGTCTCTTCTGAAGTGGAAAACGTTGTAGCCCAGCTCCACCATAGCTCCGATGAGCAGTGCCCACAGAGGGATGCAAACCGAGCTCACCAAGATGTCCATTAGGCCCTCTAATTTGGCACAGAGTGTCAAACAAAATGCCAGTTTAAGCAGCATGGCCACGAGGTACCACACGGGCTTCTTCAAGTTCTCCGCCCCATTGCGAGGGTCGAACCCCGGCTTGCAGCGGCCAGCCATTTTGACAATGAGCATGAGGAGGAGAATAAGATCAAAGGTCCAGACAGGAAGGAAGATGAGGAACCAGTTCCAGATGATCTTCCCGTCCAACTTCAGGACCAGCATAATAAGGAATATAAGTGTGAAGATCCATGTCAGGAGGACTCTTTGAGCAAGAGACATGTTCATTTGAAACGCTGGCCTAAGGGCACAGCAATAAGCTGATCTGAAAGAGACAAAACCATTATCATCGGAAGTACGAGTTCAATTTACATTCAGCCAGCTAATTTCATCTAGTGGAGTTCATGCTGCTACTAAAGGAAAAGAGGGAAATTCATAATAATAATAACGTAAAATTACATTAAAAACAAAAATAATATAAATGCATCCATAATATCAGTATTAATACATAATTAACATATTTCATTAATTAATACATTTTATATAATATACACTTTTTAACCCAGTTTTTCATTGGATGTTACGTTGATATTACAAGCTGTATTAACATAAATTACATTATATTTATTTATTAAATAGTAGCATATTCACTATGAGTTATGAGATGACACGCAAATTCACAAATGGCTAAAACTCAGTTTATTATTAGTTGAACATTAAATCATTCATTTTTACATCTTAACATACTGCAATGGCCGATTTGTTCAAATGTAAGTTAAACCGTTTTAGTTACAGCAACGTTAAGTGCCTCTAAATGTATTTAACTACCCATCAAGCTGTATTTATCACGTAAGACACAGAGATGTGCGGTCTCACTAATAAAAGAACATTTGTTTATTTATCCATATTTTATCTTGACTGTCCCGTACTGACACATTCTTAAAATGAAGGAGCTGTTCATTACTAGCGCAAAACTAATGCTAGCATACACAGTCCTAAGTGTTTTATGTTTACGAAGGCAAAACGACGAAAACAAAATAATAATAATAAAAAAACACATTGACGGAAAAGCTTACAGATGATGAAGTCAACCCGGCTGGCCTTCTAGTCAGAGGGGTTTGATTAAAGCCGATGTCCCCTTTCCGGACCGTGTGTTTGAACCTTTGAACACTGACGTTTTCAAAACAACTTCTCTTGAAGTACTAACGTTAAGTTGAAGTGTGCACAGCGCCACCCACCGGACTGGAGGACGCGCATTAAACAGCCAGGCGCATTCAGTTCAATTCAATTCAATTGTATATCGTTCCAATGGAAATTTACGAATAATTGTGCCTTACAAACTGTCAGATATTTATACATGTTTATTTATTTATTTTATTTGCATTACATCTTAATTTCTCATGAACGCGCAGCCGTGCAAACTATAAGGGCCAAGGTCAGGAAGGATATTCGTTAAATAATACATTTTCGGTTTGTTTTTCACTAAACCCTACTGCATACCGACAGAACACTTGAACTACGACACGTGTCGCATAGGACCCCGTCTTTGACACTTCTGAGTCTTTTTTTATTGTTGAAACTTTATGCTGGTCGCTATTCCCTGCCATTATATGGACGAGTGCGAATGAGACCTTTATTTGAACAAAGAAGGGCATACAGCATTATTTCCCAATCCAATCTTCATTTTTGGGTGAACTATCCCTTTTAGCTGGTATGTCCAGCTAAGATGATCTACCAGCATTTTATCTCATTTCGCTTCTGAAAAAAAGAAAACAAAAACAGAATTAAGCAGGAGAGCGGTAAAAAAAATAATATAGAATAAAAATAAATGGTTTGAAATATAAGAATGTTACTAAAAAAACACCACTGACATCTTTATTCAGCCTCAAGATGGCACTGTTTCACTATGTTGAGTTGTTGGGCTTCTGTTAAGCGACATTGCTAGCAAACTGCTCCTTAGCGAGTCTCTAAAGATTATTATCCCACTATTTTGCTTCAGTTTTTGCCTACATTAATGCCTCTGTAAAAGCAACATTTGTCATTTTCCTTGCACTTTAATTGCTATGAAAGTACAGAAGAAAACTTTTCATATTTCTCTCAGGTTGATGCCACACCTGAGATAACCATCAGAATCCACTAATTTCCAATTAACTATTACAATTACCCGTTTCCTAAAATAGCCTTTAGTCCAGACAAGAAGGTGCAGGGTGCATTGATAGCACACAAAAAGCCACATCCATGCTGAATCAGTTAATGAGCTTATTACCCTTTGCAAATGTCCTGTTGTGGCTGCCATTACTGAGGCCTTAAGGGGGTGTCAGCACAAAAGCCAGGTAATAATACAGCAGCTTCTTTGCTCTGTGTTGCTTATCAGTGAAACCACACAACTGCAAGCTGCCTTGAGGCCATGAGCCGAGGACGCCGTTTTAATTGGGTCAGTCTGATTCTGCAGCCTGTTGCCACCATGAGTGAATAGTGAGCTGGAAAAAGCAACCCTCTGCCTTTTTATGAGGATGCACAAGGTGTTTCAGACTACACACACGCCTGGAACACTGCTGCTCCATTATAAAGACTGACCACAGTTCTTGCATAGTAAAAATAGTTTGTATGTAGCATTTATAATATCGCAGGAGCATTTTATAGGATCATAGTAACCTCAGGTAAAACCACTAATCTACTTACCTTGATCTAATCTATAGATTCAATGTTTAAAAAAAAAAAAATTCAAATTCAAAAATGAAATGCATTTCCTTACTTAGAAACATTTGATATTATCAATGCTGAAAACAATTGTGCTGCTTGATATTTTTTTGGAAACCGTGATAGGATTATTTTCATGAATAGAAAGTTCAAAAGAAAGGCATTTATTTGAAATAGATTTTTTTTGCAACATTATAAATGTCTTCACTGTCACTTTGATCAATTTAATGCATTTGGTTTTAAGAATTCATTTTAAAATTACATCATACGGTGACACTGAGGGCTGAGAAAAGATTGTCTTTATCTGGCCTTTGCATATTTTGTTCCTGCAATCTGGCACAACTTTATGCATTGACTTTGAATATGAATATTTCAAATTAAGGTAAAGATAGAGTTCTTTATATTCCACTGCCAAGTACAGCTGCACAGAAAATATTAAAAATATTCCCTGTAGTACTGTGTCCCTGTGCCACACATATAACTCAGCTTTGTGGCTTTGTCTATTTTTGAGCATATTTGGGTGACAAATATGTTCTAACCTGAACATATGGCATGACAAAATTCAATATCTATGAAATGGGAATTTAAAGGGACCGTTCACCCAAAAATAAAAATCTTTATTTACTCACCCTCATGTCATTCCAAACCTGTATTATTTGATTTTTTTTTGTCTTCCGTGGAACACAAAAATAGATTTTTTTTTTTTTAAGTGAACAAGTTGTTCTTTTATTTATACAATGAAAGTGAATAGGGACTACAGCTGTCCAAGTCCCCATTCACCTTAATTGTAAGAAAATGAATAATTTTCTATCTTTTTTTTTTAGATTTAACTTTAGATTTAACATCATACCTTCTGACTTCAAAGCGTTCCAGACAACTCTTGAAACAACTTCATCATAACTATCTAAAATTTGCTTGAAAATGACGCCAAATGATGCATTAAGACCATATTAGATTTTCCAGTTATCATTTTTAAGTAGGATGTGGGAGAAATTCAAGTTCTGAGTTGACTGGAATGCAGCATAAGTCCATTTAAAGATAAAAACACATGATGAGCTACATGCGAGTATAAAGCAGCTTCATGCGAAAGACACACAATTCAGCTTGCATTTACATCAACATCCAAAGCGCACATCCCTTTGACTCTGTAAGGTAAATTCAATTCGGGGCTTCAATTTCCTCTTGTGGGTATGTAATGCGGTTGTCATGTTCAATGAGAAATTGCTTCCTCTCTGAAGAGCTTTGTGGGAACTGAAATAGGCTGCTATGACATGCTCATTCCCCGTGTCCTTCTAGAGAAGATTAAAAGCTTGATATCGAAATCATGCTTCGTCACCAATGCAAAACATCTTATTTACTCCGAATGGGAAGCGAACGCAGAGTGTCAGATGTGAAAAACACGTTTCTGTCATACACATGTGTGCACTGTTTCAAATCAAGGATCTTCAAGCCCCGCTTGGCTGCGGCTCCATTATCTCCAGCTCCTGCAGTATCCTAAGATTTGTACCTATTCCCCGGCATACTTTAGCCCTATGGCTGTCTGTGTTGATTTATGTTTGACAGCCATTGAACTCATCACAGCCTTGTGTGAATATCCGTATTGACCTGTGGCCACTCATATTAAATCCTATCGAGTTTAGTCTTGCATGATGTTCGACCCCCTCGAGGAAGCCTGTCTTAGAGCAATCAGAAAATTCATAGCTATAGCATTTAAGCGCAAATCAATCTTAGGCAGCATGAGATTAATATAAAATTGCAGCCATTTGTGCTTTCACATTGGATTTGTGCATATGAAAATACTTCATCCGCAGCACAGAACAGGTGTATATGCCAGATATGACATTGAGAAGAACATAAGCAAATGCTTAATGTAAGTTGCAAATAGCTGCCATATAAAGTCTGACCACTCCTAGAACGAGTTTAAAAT